GGACTTTCCGGATGAGGGGATACATGGGAAGGGAAAATATTTTCTAACTGTGCATCTCCTCCTCCTCATTTTATTTCGATTTAGATACAGACACTTCAATTTCATTAATATGTATAGATTTAGTGTTGCTCTTTTGTAAAACTATTAAAGAATATCGTTGATGGATTCTAATAAAACATAAACGGGCTAGGAAAGAAATTTAATCTGCAGCAGCACGACAGCATACGTGGCGACGGTGGTCAGCAGGCGCACCGGCAGCGCCGCGCCCCCCGCCAAAGCCTCGCCGCCGGCTTCCCCACCGCCCGCCACACCGCTCACCTCAGCATCTGTCACACAAACACTCATCTGCCGTCAACAGTACGTCATAACATTCCAGCTCAAGTGATTCTCATCGATCTTGTCAGTATGCCGGAGTAAGTTTAATTTTACTCCGACACTGAGATGTTAGTTCTTAACATAGTGTATTACCTGAAGATGCGTCCACTTCTTCTGCCATTATACAAGTGACCCGAATGTTTTTCATCCAAATGTAAATGTTCTCGCACTCCAAGCTTATCACGGTGACCGACAAAATGTTCCTTAAATTCCACGTCAGTGCAAAAACAAAATTAAAATTCCAAATAGGCTCCTAGAAAGTTACGAGCCGGTTTGGTTACATCTCCTTTTACTTATATATTTTTACGTCCACAAAACTATGTTGTTACCTCAATGAGCGTTTGTACGTTAGACATGGCCTGTACGAATGTCGTGAACACGAGGCACGCGATCTAGAGAACAGTGGAAAAGAGTATTAACAACAAAATCGACTTAACTATGGTACTGTTATTCATTTATACAATTACCGGTATGCCAAAGACTGACTGACACATTCGCCCGACTGCAATCAATTCGTGGTACGTGTGTGCAAGCTTTGCTAAATGTGAACATCTGACCTCGTCTTCAGTTTCAGTGTTAGACATATTCAATATTTCTTCATATTCTTGAATCCACAAAATTATCGCTCTTTTAACCAAAGTCAATACACGCGCTATATAAATATTATTGCAATCAGCGACTAGAACAAATAAATGAGTCAAAGCAGTAAAAGAGAAAGGGTCTTTGAAAATGATCATGCGAAGTATGAAAACAATAATATGGTACAAGAGAATGCTAAAAAATAGAATCCAATTAATAACCATTGCGCACTTTACTTCCATTTTGACAAACTTATAAGAGGAATGTATTCTTTGAAGCCGTATTATTAGATATGCGCTAATTTCACTTTTCAGAACCGTCAGCAAACAGTTCACAACGAAAACTGCAAAGAAGGACCAAATCTGAAGGCTGACAAGGAAAAAGTACATTGCATTTAAATTATCTCTTAAGATACGTGAAAACAAAATGATGTCATAATTATATTTGACGAAGATGAAAACAGCACCGGTGGCTATGATAAGTTTAGTCCGGCAGCTGTTAGATGTGAGCAAGTCATAACGTATGGAGAACTTGGGAGCCAGCGTCAGACATTGTAGCAAGTACAAAGGTAAAATAATCTTACGGAACTCAGTTTGTAAAAAATTATCAAACACGAAATCGGAATTGAAATTTTTTCGGAGTACATTTTTTATTCTTAAGTTAGAATTTTTAAATTTTATTTTAATCATGTTGTTTAACAAGCCGCGACTGTCCTCTGTCAGTATGTGATCCAAACTGATGACTATAATAATTAATAGACACGTACGTTAATTTTATTGATTTCTTAAATTAATTTTTAAAGTGCTTTCGATTTGAAGGACGATAAAACATCCACTGATAAGGATTACAATAATGAAATTATTAATGATCTTTACAATTTAAAAAGAAAGTTTTTTGCAAGCCGGCTTTTGGCCTTCCCAGACGTATTTTCAACTCTAAGTAAAGTGACAGCAGGGTTAAAGTCTATTAATAAATGTTATATTTGTTTTGTTCAACGTTATTTTCGACCATAAAGGCTGAAGTAAATATGAAAGTATAGAAATAAAAGATGTTATTGGTTAAGTCATTCACGTTTAATGTATGCACAAATCTTACAATGTATATCATATTAATGTTGTAAATGCAAATATTTGTATAGATGCATGTTTGTAAAGTGGTTTGTTGGAAGACAGAACAGATCTACAGATCGAAATGAAATGTGGCATAAATGTGGACCATAGTCTGGCAGAAAACATAGACTAATAAGTTCTTTAATTCTACGCAGTCGAATTCGCGGGCGACAGCTGTTTTAAGATACGTTTCAACAATATAACATCAGGAAGAAGTTCTCTTAAGAAATACATACACAGTGGACGATTTGTTTGCAATTTATTTCAACACAAGAACAGAAATATTTAAACTATATTGTAAAAGAGATATGTTCACAAGAAGTGATATTGCAGTATGACGATGACGTATGTGGCAAGCACGTCGAGGAACCGCGGCGGTAACGCGGCGTCTACGGGGAACAGTCCGGCCGCCCGCAGCCAGCCCGCACCACGCTTCGAGCGCGCCCACGGCTCCTGTCGGCGCATCAGCTTTGACATCTCTAGAGTACAACATACAACAGTTAACTTTACACCTTCTTTATTACATTTTGACATCTAAAATATAAAGCAAATCGTCTCTTTATGTCTCTGACCTGTTGCTGTCTCTCTCGCACTCAGCACGATGCAGGCTACTTGAGCGTTTCTTACTTTTAACTGTATAATTTCACTTTCCATACACAATATCGCTACAATTGTAAGATTTTTCACCCAAATCAATTGAGCTACGTACATTGATTTCGTCCAAACTGGCAGCTGAAATTCAATTATTTTCTTTGTTATGATATTAGGATTTATACAATATAAGTTTAGTTCCAAATATTGTCGAACTTTAAACATAAATAAGTAAATTACTTATTTCAATGTTTGAATAACTCACAGATAGAGCTGCTTGGACGTTAACAAAAACATGAAAAAACGACGCCAACACAGTAAAGAAAATCTGAAAACAAAAGAGAGAATCATGAAATTTAAAGTTAATAATCATTCGAATATTGTATAATAATAAATAAGTGAATAATTACCGGAAGTCTGAAAATTTTATCAGAGATTTCGAGCGCTTCCATAAGTTCGTCGTAAGCTAAAATTAATTTGTTGAAATAATCCTTCGGCTCGGTGTCATTACAATTTGTACGAGAAAAATATTTCAACTCTGAGATCCACGTGTCAATGAGTTTGCCCAACAAATGTATCATACGAATAGCAACAATACTGTTACAATCAATAGAGAGGTAAATAAAATGAGTGAAAACTATTGTAATTAATACCCTCGATTCTAAAAGACGAGTCGTGAAATGTGCAATATTGTAGGCAATTATTACCATTAAAAATACCCAGTTTATAATAGCAATACCTCTATTATCAAATTTGACAAACATGAAGCGTTTCTGTATCCTTTGTATTAATACAATTAAATGTGCATTCATGTTACTGTGCGATGTCGTTATAAAAGAATTGAGAATTATAGCAAAGACTAAAGTAACACTGTAAGCAAAAAGTGTTACAGCATATATTCCATCGCCTCTGGTCAAGTAGCCCAGAACACTGGAGAACCATGTTATACCGATCCCGACAGCGCACAAGAAGACGATCACATTGAACTTGTAACTGTTGGATGTAATAAGACCATAACGTATGGAGTACTTGGGGGCCAGAGACAACCATTGCACCACGTACAGCGGCCACAGGACTGACTTCACTTCCGCCTCCACAAAGTTATCCAACATAAAATCTGGATTGTGATTTGACGAAGCTTCTTTCGATTTCTCGAGGCGGAATTTACTTCTCAACATCTTCGCTGGTTGAGACACAACTTTGGTATTTGAACAAGTGACAAGTATATTTTTTTTATTTTTCTGTATCCCTATAATTTTAATAAAGCTACATTTGATTGCTTTCAAAGTAATGAGGTAGACAGAGTATAGCGATGTTTTAATGGATTACTTATTAATAACGTTCCGATACAACATAATATTATACTTGATGAATTAAAAATTTACAAGTTGCCATAAATATGGCGCAGATCTTTCGAAAGAGAATATACGTCTTTCTATTTTTTAGTTTAGAGCATTGTAGCACAAAGGCAACGGACATTGAGATATTAGTTAAGTTTAACTGGCTGTTTATATGCTATTATAATAATAACAGCGGTAAAGTTAAATGTTTTATATATGAAATAAAACTTTTACGAAATAATTTTAAATCATCATAAAATGTATTCTACACATTCCAAACATAGATGTCGCCATCAGTCTATTTTGTTTTGTTGGCATCATGACATTTTATAATTATTGATGCAACAGATCGAGTTTTTTGTTTTTCCTTCTGTTTTCATGTTTTAAGAGAACTCTGCTCTCTCAAAGTAGTTTTTAGAAGCGAAAAATTGTATTTTATTGAACTTTAATAAAATCAATATTTTAATAGCAATTAAGAAATGATAAGGCTAATTGATTGCTTTTCTATATAACATCGATGAATAATAATTATAATATAAGTAGGTATATATAGCGGCGAGTAATAACGTACATGTAAACCTATAATTACAAGTAGATTTGATAAAGTACTATAGATAACCAACCCAACATAAAACGTGTAAGAAATATGTACTTAATTAGAAACACCTGAGCCAGCCTTATTTTATGTAAATTCTAGATGACGGTTTAGAACATTAACCGATTTTGAGTAAAGTGTCATCCGATTCGTCTTCCCTGGAGTGTGATACGATAAAACAGATATATAGAAGACATGGAAGTAAAATTATATTAAATTTATTAAAAAGCGAGAAACCTGAATTAATTTAGTTTAAAATAAGAACCGTTTTATAAACGCTCAATAGATGGCGCTATTAACTAGTCACTCGTGTGTTTTAATTTTTATATTCAGGTTTTATTATATCTATACTTTTTGTTTATTATTTGTATCGCAGAAATTAGGAGTTAATAAAAATAGATAATATTTAGTTAAAATATATATTAATTGTAAGATGTAACACTAAGGACAGTTTTTGAGACAAGTTCCGTTTGAGGATAAACAATTTTCGAAATCTTCCGGCCGCTCCACCTGAACGGAAAATAATTAAAAGTTAATATATAGAAATTAAGTACAAAACACAAAAATAAAAAACATTCTCTCCCCACTTTAGTAAATAGAATGTTCGGCAAACATTTTAAAAGTGATCTTTTTAGAATAATTGGTAGTGTAATTGTGTCATATTATAAACTAACTTGGTAAGTGACGTGTTGATGTGTTGCGCAGCGCAGGAGGATTCTGTTTCCCAAAGCATTTTGTTCTTTTAATTTATCAGCAATCGCGGACCAAATTGTGCTCGCGGATTTCAGTACATCCATGTTGCCGAACATGTACAAACCTGGGAAACAAATATATATTTTTTGAATTAAAAAACAAAATTTAATTTCAACCTCAAACTCAAAGTTAATGAAATTAAGATCACAAATAATCTTACTAATACATAAATGCGTATGTTTGGATGGATGGATCATGTTGAAATTTGACATAGATGTAGAACATAGTATAGAAGGAAACAGACTACAGGCTAGAGACAGTGATTTACAAAGTATAGAGTGACCTTCTTTAGCCCGCGACATGGCGACACAGATCCTGTTGTGTTGTGCGAGGAAGCCGATGTTGCCCTCCTTGTTGCTGCGCACCAGCGACACCACCACCACCCTGCTCTCCTCGCCCTGGAACTTGTCCACCACCCTCACCTTCACCTCTCTCAATCTCTCGTACTTCTTACTCAGCTGCAACAACACAGCACGATCCTTTCTATCATATAAATATTATAAAAACTCGTTATGATTCATTTTCAAAGCAATTTTATATTGAGAATAACGCCATCTATAGAAAATATCTCTACACTAGTGTCTGTACTGTGTTTATACATTTGAGCCAAATCATCCAAAAATACGAGTTGTTGGCACATCTAGAAGCTTCTTTTTACTGAAATGTTTGTGCACCTCAGTGATAAGTTTAGCCTGTGCGGTGTATGTGGTGAGCAGAGTGATGTCACCAGCGCAGTATCCCATGTGTCGCAGGTAGTCCGCCACCAGCACGCACCACCTCGCCTCCGCACTGTTCCTGTGACTCCAGCCCTCTTCTAAACCCTACAACAACCATAACACAATCACTCCGAGTATTAACACATATTATGGCAATTTCATCGTCTTAATATCATGAACAGAATTTTTACAACAAAAGTAGACGGAAAGTATAATCAAACAATTTGTAAAAAACTAGAAATTAACAAAAAATATTTTTATAGAGGAAATGAGAAAAATATTTGCTAGTTTGTGTACATACCTCGGAATCTTCAAAGTGATTATGAGTATAAAAGTATAGATCGTGTTTCATCCCTGTAACGTGAGGGTAGTGTTGTGTGCGGGGGTGTGTCTCCAGCGCGGGGTAGAGGTGCGGCACCAGCAGCGCGGCCATCTCTGCGCGCATGCGTCGCTGAGTGCGCAGACTGCGCGCGTGCCGCCCCCCACCTCCGCCTCCACCTCCACCTCCACCTCCGCACAACATGCGCTCGAACAGCGACACCTCCAGGTTGTAGTGACGAGCCAGCTTGTAGTGCGCGGCTGTAGGTCGCAGCTGCTTGTGATCACCTGACAAATAAAACATTTACTAAACTATCCAATTTGACTGATATTATAAACGTGAAAGGTTTAATTTTATAGATGAATTAATCTTAAAAACGACTGCATGAACCCCGATCAAATTTGTCAAAGATGTAAAATATAGTCTCGAGTACACATGAGATGCTTTTTATCCTTCTTTTTTTTAATTCTGCGCAGATAAGATCAAATATGTTTCGGTCGCCATTATATCGAACGATAAATCCAAATTACTAAATTAAAAAATATACTACTAAATATAAAATGTAAAAATCGACATACCGATTAGTATGAGATGCTGACAGTGGTGAGTGAGCGCGGCCACCACGTGCGCCTCCATCACCTCCGCCGCCTCCTCCACTATCACTGATATATACATCATCATTTACCTTCATGTAAACACAATTAAATATAACACCATATAAAAAAATTCAACAAATAATAGACCTTATTCTATGTCTTTAAATGGATAGACGCTTGCTTGGAAACAACAAGTTTTGGTACATCCCTATTTATACGCACCTGTTGATGTGATGTAGGTACCACAGTATCGCTACAAATGTTACTATCGTCGCTAAAATAGCGAAAATGAAATAGGCAGAAAATAATAAATGTTATAGGCAGTGTATTTGTACTGACCGATGTTACAGCGCAGCTCCTGCAGCAGCCGGTGACGCCGCGCCGCCGCGCTCGTGGTGAGCGCCACCACGCGCGCACCTCCGCACACCTCCGCCTCCACCAGCGCGCGCACCTCGCTCACCTCCGACACGCACCTCCGCTGCACCTCCTGCACACATCCGCACACATCTCCATACACGTCCGCACACATCTGCACACATCCGCACTCATCTGGCACTCTCGCCGCTCGCAACATCTACTTACTGATATTTGTAAATGTGTGTGTATGTATTAATATATAGATATTTTTAAATAAATGCATAAAATCAGAGCGTCGGTGGCTCAGTGGTCAAGCAGTTGACTTGCAATCTATAGGTCCTGGGTTCGAATCCCGCCATGTACCAATGTCTTTTTGATTTCCGATTTACATATGTACATTTATCCGACGTTTTTACGGTGAAGGAAAACATTGTGATGCTGCACATATCTGCGAATCAATTCAAAGATATGTGTGAAGTCAACCAACCCGCACTTGGCCAGCGTGGTTGACTATGGGATAATCACTCTTAACTTAGGGTAGGCTCCGAGCCCCTCAGTGGGGACGTATAGTGAGCTAATGATGATGCATAAAATCAAACTCAATAAAAGTATGAAGTTTATAATAAATATTTAAATTCTATAAAATTGATGTGTAAAGACTTGTGATTAGTAAAGACAAAAAATAACAAAATGAAATCTTACCAATAGTTCATTCATTTTAATGTTAAGTTTATCTTTGAGAGCGGACACGGCTGTCAAGTAAACCGTCCATCTTTTATCTGGATCTAGTTCGTACAGGTTTTCTATTTGGGGAACATCTTTCATCAGCTGCAGTTGTCTTGAAGACGACATATTTTGCTGTTATGTTAATGTTATTATATTATTATAAATCAGTAACGCCTATTTCAAACAAAATCTATTATATATGATAAATATTTTTTTTTAGCCTTAGTATATTTTTAATCAATAAACTCAAAAACTATTTAACCAATTCCAAAAAACTCAAAAACTACTTAACCAATTTCAAAAATTCTTTCACCGCTGTAATCCTTATAATAAATAGAAATTTACCTTAAAATAGTTCAATCTATTTCGTAGTTTAGTTATTTGCTTTTCAAACTTGTCGACCATTTTGCGGGACTCTGTCGCATCGTCGGTTAAATCTTTGACGTACTTTATACTATTGTTCATAGATTGTATTTCCTTAAGAAGGCGCTCCTCAGAGAAACATGTCTCCACTTCATCAGATATATTCAAATGTTCGCATTGTTTCTCCCAATCATCTGAATCATTATTTTCATTTGTATCATCATTATCTTCTTCCAAATGATTAAACAACCAAGATATTATTGAATCTTCGTTAGTTGTTTTTAATTCGTAACTTTTATTGCCAATTTTTAAATAAGGTTTAAGAGTTTTATATGAAACTATCTCTTTCTCACATTTCTCTATCTCTGTCTGAAGTTCCATCATATCTTTATAAACTGTTTCCAAGTGTGCCTTCTTGTTTGCGTACAGATAAGAGTATTTAGATTTACTTCTACTTCTCATATTATGTAGAGTGTAATTCTGTAATATCTCACTCTTACTTTGATTTCCAAATCTGATAACATTTTGGGTAACGTGAAGTATTCCTTCAACAAATTGATCAAGCGCATGATTCGTGTAGCAAATGATGAGCATCGGAGTACCTTCCAGGGACAAATTCCTTAGCAATGTGGATGCTATTTTGATCCCTACGAACGTCTTACCGGTCCCAGGCGGACCTTGTATAACTGCAAATTGTCTCGTAAGTGCAAATTGGTACGCACTCATTTGAGATTCGTCTAAACAGAATATTTCCTTTGATGGCCATTTTTCAGTTTGAAGTACGGGGAAACTTATTTCCTCATTATTTGGACCTGATATAGTATATATTGCATCATTTGTTAAATATTTAGGTGGCTGTGACTCACTCTGGAAATAGAAATTACAAAACTATGCAACTAACATTCCACTGTAAAAACACTTGTTAAATAATATGTTAATAATATTACAAATGCTGTTACTAATATTACGAACGTTTAGATGTATGGATGGATATTTGTTTGAGGGTATCTCCAGGAGGGCTGAACAGATCTCAATGACCTTTGGCATACATATAGAACATACTCTAGAAGAATACATAGGCTACCAATTATGTTTTTTTTTTAACTCTCGTGGACGGAGTCGCGGGCGACAGCTTATATTATAAGTTTAAATAATTACCTGAACATATACAATATATTCCTTCATAGGCAAATCATCTGTTCTCATATTCTGTAGAACTTTCAATACGCTATGATACGGCTCAAAGTAAACCTCACTTTCCACCATCAAGTATGCTTCATCATATATTTTGTTTGATACTGGATTTTCAAAGGAAACAACAATCTGTAGAAAAATAACTGAATTCAATTTATTTTCAAACATTTATCAATTTAAAAATTGACTTTTCCGACAAAATAGCTACATGTCTAAACATATCTCATTAGACATTTAAGCATTATTAATTAATTATGCCCCTCACAAAGATTAACAATACGTAAATATGTTAAAAATCTATTCCTACATACATAACCATCTGCCAAAAGATGTTGATTTGAATCCAGTACAGTGGCACATAGGACAGTTTCAAAGTTGTCACTTGTGAAGAGCAGCAGAGAACCAAACATTAACTTTTTACTGTGAGTGTAATGCTTCTTATCAATACTGGCACCGTCCAAGCGATCCTGCCACGCCATGTCCACCAGATGACCAACATTATTGTTACTCACATATGTTCTCACAATACGCACTTTTGGGTAAACTCTGAAAATATTAAGAAAAAAATTTATGCTTGATTGTTAACTCTTTTTTAGTAAAGGTTAGTTTTTAGTGGTACTCAAAATGGACTAAATAAATTTAAAGGAAGGGTTAAATTGGTCTTGATTTTTAATTCAGCGCATACCTTATATTTTCATGCCTCCGTTTAGATGGATTTTCCATATATTTGCCTGAAATGAAAATCAAAAACAAATTGATTTTGGTCACAGAATCGCTTCTTTAAATAAGAAATAACCAAGAAATTAGAAGCAATATAGAGAAAATTTGTAGAATGCCATGCCATGATTTATATAAGCTATTGTACTATATAATATGTACAGACATTAAAACTATGTTTTTACCAACATATTCCTTCTCGTAATGGTGCGAAGCAGTCCTCTCTCAACAACTTAAACTGCACATCCAAGTAATGTTCAATAGACAGGTATGCACCGTTGATTATATTTGGTTTTATTTTTATTTTACTGTCACCGAGGAGATCATCTTTTGTTGGAAATATTTGCAAATTTTTATAATAACTTGGATCATCATTTACTTGTTCAGATATTGAGTGACACTCATTTGTTTGCTGTAAAAACAATACATGAAGCTTTTAGCATAGTATTTGAATCATTTTGTTACAATTATTTATAACTTGTTCAACTAAAATTATGCTTTGATAGACATCTATAAGTTGTCAATATCTGGAGAGTTGCTAACCTTTACAAAGAAAACATTAACTGATTATTAACTTAACAAACCTGATTTATGTTGCTAATAATATCCTTTTTCAGTTGATTGATTTGTGTGAAAAAGCTGTCTCTGATTGTCTCTGTGTGTTCCTCTCTCACTCCCACAGCACTTGTCTCCATAATCTCCAATAACTCTAAAACTTCAAACAACACCGAATTCTCCTTGTTGTGAAACTTACTCATGCCTTCACACAACTCAAACAGGTTTAAGTAAAATGTCTCTACGTCATCCCATAACTGCATGTTCATCTTCTTTTCAACAATTCTTACATTGGGCAACTGTCTTAAGTAAGTTTTTAGATTATTTATAAAAACTGATTTCAAAAATCTTGTCCTTAATAATATTACTATTTTTGATTTCTCATCACTTTCTAAAGAACTATAAATGTTACTTAATATTTTAATAATTAAAACTATAAAATCTCCTTTCAGGTCAATGTCTAAGAGATGCCAGAAACCCGGTCTATGAGATATTTCTAGGTTAAGTATAGGAGGTTTTAAATAGGATAAGTCCATTAATCTTTTAAAGCCAATAGGTTTCTTCTCAACATCTTTTGGTATTAACTTTGTTTGCGTTTCTGGTTTATCTTCGTCATCAAACTGCGATGAGCTTGTTGCATTCTGTCTCGTGTCTTCAATAAGTGTACCATCAAACCAATCTATCCTGAGGGATGATTTACTATCAGACATATTTTATGTATTAAAATTTCATAAAACGATAAAGAACAAAGCAATCTTTTGGGAAAATATAGACATTTACAAATTGAGAAAAGAAATTACAAAAGTCAAACGTCAATGTCATTGTCATTTTTTGGGCAATAGTTATAACCTTTCTGCCAAAACATGTATTCATGAAAATTTTGTATATTTTATTAATACGAAGATATTTTTTAATGTTTCATTTACTTTACGTACATACAAACGTCATACAAACAAATGCAATGTATTTGGCGTTGTATTATTTATATCCTAACCTAAAATATTAGTACTCTGTCACAAGGGCACCACAACCTCCATTGATATTGAAACATTTTACATCTACGTCAATACATATAACGAACATAAATTAAATTCTGTATTGTTAACTAATCATAAGAAAATTATCGCTATTGCTATATGCGCATCGCTACTAGATGACGCTTGTAAGAAGCGACGCCCATACGAAGTTGCGAGATAAATCTGCTGTGTAATAAAATAAAAGAGATAACTGTGATAAACATTGAGTGCCATTAAAATACGTTACAAATCATGCGATGAGGTGTAAACAGCAAAATACTTATTTTATGAATATATATATTTTTTATTTTAATAAAAACTTAAAAAAAACTGTAATATTAAAAAAGTAATGAAAAATTCACAAAATCTGAAATACGAATGGATTGCGTGTGACAATCTCAAAGCATAACATAAGCTTTTTACTATGGCAATGAAAATATTCGAACTCACAAATACACTCTGGGGAAATTTCCATTGGACTATAAAATATCACGCACATGTCACAGAGATGTAAAGAAACTTAGACACATGACGGGACTATCAAAATGAAATCGAAATTTAATTCTATGTATGAAGATTTCCTCGAAGCTCACCGAGATAGGGAGGGGGAGAGATTTGGGTCTCGCCCTAAATCTTGTAAGATGCAGATACACGACATTTCAGAGAGGAATAAGAAATTGTATTTCCGTATCTGTATGTTTTGCAAGCTCTCCGCGTATATAACATAACATCAACATAACATCTTAACAACATGCTTCACCCGTGTCTTTATATTAACTTAGTATGCTAAGTTTTTATTTTAACTTACACAAATGGCTAAGGCTTTTTAGTTTTCTATGCACTAGCGCATATTTACAATGGCACTTAAAACGCAAATATTTTCATTCAAATGAAATCGCTTGGAAAACTAGGGCGCATTTTATATGACAGTGTTACCATTACTTTTTTTGTTTTTTAAATCAAAAGATTTTTTAATTGTATATATGAAAAATTACTTTTGCTTTTTGTTTGTTCTTAATTATGTATCCAAATTAAAAATAACACTAAACTCGAGAATGAATAGCACACAATGACACTGGGACAAAAAATAAAAATGGCTCATAAAATGATACGGCGGCTCACAAAGGGGCGGAATGTTATCGCGCGAAATCCTGCAATTACACTTGAGCGAGAAATTTTGAGTGTTATTGTGCACTCAACTGTAACGAAAGCGTATATTCCTTCATTCGAGAAACGAATTGTAAAAAATAAGGTATTTATTTAAATTGCAATGTGTTGAAAAATGCCAAAATAGTAATATCATATTATCATACTTAAAGACCCGATAGTTAAAGTTACAATATAGGACTGACTAAAAAAACATATAGTAGTATATAAACTCTTTGTAATCGTATTCATATCACGTTGCTGAGAACACGTACAGTTTATTATCATTTATAGTCCACAGTTTCATTCGGAGCGCTCTTTTCTGTTTTAAGTGAACGATATACTTTAACTTGATACAATTACTTTGCACTGCAATTTATATTGTTTAAGTGAGTTATATCTTGATTACTTTTACAATACAAAGATGTGAATGACGGAAATCATCTGAAAGTTTTAAAATGTTTTTGTTAAACTCTTCAAATGTATTCAACGTAATGACACACATAAAAAATACAGACGAATTGATAACCTCCTTCTTTTTGAAGTCGGCTAATAAAAAGTACGAAATAATTCACAACATATTTATTGCTATGCATGTAATAAATACTCTTGTGAATTAAATTGTCTTCCTTGAAAATAACTCGTCATTTGTTTATTGAATTTGCGCGTAACAATATTCTGCGTTATATTGTAGGCATACCCTTTCAAATAATTAACGTAAGAAAGCCGCCTTGTTAAATGCAACGAAGGAATAGAATAAAGATAATAAAGACTGTCTTTTAAGGAAAAAGCTTCGTCATCATTGATAGTTTTTTTAATACTATTAAAAAGTTAAAGTTATAATAAATACTATGCGTATTATGATTAACTGTTCATCAATTTATAGAAAGAAAGTTAACCTTTGATATTAGTAAGCTATGCCCAGTACTGTTTTCGAAAAAGTGTGCAATAAAACGTAGACAATACTTTTTTTTTTACATTATAAATCAGTAACCGTGCGAAAGAATGAAGATAAACCGTTAGGGTCGAGGCCCTTCGTAAAATTTAATGGCCTTTTCAGATGTGGCAATGAAATAAATCTGAAGAAATTGCCCGCAGCAAACCTTCTGCCGAGCGCTACGGCTAACTTCTTACTAATGGACGTTTTGCTCACAAACTGATTTAAATTAGTTTATATTGTTTTTGAAGGCTATTAAAGTTAACATGATGAATTTACTTGGCAACTTTACAGTATTGTTATTAAGCTTTTTAAAAAATATATAATGTTATAAAAAGCTCCTTTGCGCCTTTACTTCAAGGTTTCAAACACTAATCCTCAATTTAATTTGAACATAAAAAAAAGGAAGTAAGAGTATATCACTATCTCAAAGGCCGGCAACGCATCTGCGGTTCCTCTGGTATTGCTGATGTCCATGTGCGTCGTTGAACACCTCGGTGTTCCCGCTGCTAGTTTGCCCCCTTCTGTTATAAAAAAAAAATCGTGACAATAAGATACAACGTTGAATAATTATTTTAGTTTCCTTTGTCAAATTGCGTTATTATTTATCCTTAGCATAGGAAATTAAAATATCCCTATTCAAATATATCCAGTGTCGGCAAAATAACATTTTGTGTCAGGTAAATTATAGTATTTCCTTCAGCATTTTGTCTTCACAATTCTCTATAGCTTTACTTCGCAGTAAGAATACTAACTATATGAACAGGATCTTTACTATAACATAAAAAGTATAACAAAAGATTACTACAAAAATGAAAATCTGTTTTGCGAAAAAAAATCAGTTTTTTCAAACTCAATAAGAAGTGGCTCTCCACTTCCATTTAAAAATAGTGTCTTGTAACATTTCAGTTTTAGTACTTACCTACCTAAATAACAGTAACTCAATGACAGTAATATATCCAACAATTAGTGGCACAAACAGTGTCTCAACTTGAGTCGACGCAGAATGTAATTTACTCGCATTTCCCGCGCTATTTTCGGTTACAGATCACATTAACTTAATGAAAACATTTATATCGTGCGCCCGGCTTAGTTTGTCCTGCGTCTCGATACGAACAGAGAAAAAAATGTTTCTTCCTGTAATTAACCTTAAAGAATGCCTACAATGTTCTATTTTAAGTGATAAACCTTTCGAATAACAAACTGACTTCGGTGCTGATAACGAATTTTCACTTAGCAAGTTCTTTGCGCATCTTAAGAGATTCTAAGGAACGACAGAACATAAACTCTCGTTAGGCATCTGTTTGTGCGTCGCTATTCCTTACATTGCTTCAAATAATGTCGTTAAATATATGATACCGAATACTAAGAAAGTAACGCTGTTTATACAAAGGTTTATTTTAAATTAATAAATGGTTTCAGAGGTCTTATTTTAATACTAACAAATAGTATGGTTTTACACTAAGCCAATAAATTCATTACTTAGTACACTCGCTACTGTAATTTGTCTGTAGTTTTTTTCTCAATTCAACAAAAACTCATCTCGATAGCGAGATGCAGACAGTCATTTGAACAGAATGCATTACGAAATTCGCTTCGCGTACAAAAACCTAAAACTTTTGAGAAATATTTCTACTTAGAAAGAAACTTTTAATTTGATACCTCTTCAATGGGTGCAAGAAATGTGTTTTTTGTTAAACTACTAACGCCCGGGGCTTTGTTAGCGTTGAGTGTAAATTTAAAGAAAAAAAAAAAACGAAATCTTTACCTACTAAATTATTCAACTCAATATCAGTCAAGTTAATATTCAAATAATTTAATCAGAAAATAAAAGAAAAATAAGCCAGAAAAAGTCGTAGACTTTATAAAAATGTCTTAAAAATTGCCTTATCATTAAAAATACGTGCTACATTAGGCGCTACGAAAATTAGATCTTAAACTTAATATCAACGAAACTTTGTTAATATTCCCGAGAAACAAAACACAATTACAACTTATACATTGGTTACTCCTTGGAAATTATTAATTAATCCAGGTAAAGTCATGATGTTATTTTATACCCAAATACCGATTCTACGACTATGTACTCTGTTGTTGTAGAGCTTTGTTCTCGAACTTGTTTTATTTTTGGATTTTGATTTCCTACAAAGCAGATCTTTAATTAAAGTGTAAATGTGTAAATGACAAGTTCACATTACACCGGGCTCTTATCTCCTTCACACGCTGACGTTGACGCGGGTCAACAACATCGTTAATTTCGATTTTAAGACATCTGTGTTTCATCTAACAGTAGGTTTCCACTCCCGAAAACAAATTATCATAGCCTCATTCTTTTAAAAGATAACAAATATGTTTCGGCAATGTAAATTCATGGCAAGTGAAACCGTTGTGAATATCAACTAAGGTGTTACGTTATCAGAGGTCCCGCAAACAGAGATAATCCGATTACTGAGCTAATTGTTATTCTACAACTGGCCGACAGTGGCGCCGCGCGGCGACTGGTAGCACTACATCATATTTACACACGCTGTGTACACAAACATTATCTCCCTCACTGAAATACAAATGTAAATTAATATATTAGTTACTACAAACCGAAGTATGATTTAAAAATTGAATAATTAAAATTTGTTCACGTTAAATTCGTTCTGGCAGGATCACCATAAAACATCACAATGGCATGGAAGGTGTTAAAAGCTT